ATGGCTGCTGTTGGTGTAAATCGCATTGACCCCGTTATTCCTGAGCAGGCTAGTTTTTGCACTTTTCTAAGTTGACGTTTGGCACTTCCCTGTAGTGTCTTGGGCCACCACACCAGGGAGGTGTATGTCAGGATAGGTTTGACCATCATGTTTTATGTCCAACAACAGCATGTCCGGTCTTAGACCCCATAATATTCCATGCCAGCGTCTGGCTATAATGAGTGATGTTACCGCTTTTTCAGTGGTGTTTTCCAGATGTGGATTCCAGGTAAGTTTTGATTCCAGTGTTACCCTCAAGTAATTGAACTGGAAATCTGTATATTTTCACCCCTTAATCTAAGAGGTCCCAGGTCTTGTATTTTATGCCTTCAGGTGAATGCCACGATGGTGGAATGTTTAGTCCTTCTCTATCCATTGATCTTGTTGTTCGGTCTAAAGCGTCTTGCATTTGCTCCCTAACTGTAGAGTTGAATTTGCCCCGTGAGATGATGACTATGTCGTCAGCATATCCGAGGGTACGGTGTCCTCCGTCAGTGACCACCTTAAGCAGACCCTCCGCCACTAAATTTCACAGGAGTGGGGATAATTCCTCGTCCTGTGGGCATCCCCTGTACACCCTAGCCGCCAGTGTCTCCTCTGCGATGGTGGTTTCTACCATTCTTTCTCTCAGCATAAAGTTGATCCACACATAGCAGGTGTCCTCAACTCCTTTGTGCTGGTTATTGAATCGAAGGAAGTGTTGTCCAAACCTCCCTCTATATCTAAGAAGAAACCTAGCAGCACCTCTTCGTTTACCAGTGTGGTCTCCACTATGCTGACTAGCTGATGAAGCGTTGACATCCCTGTACAATACGCATATTGGTCTGGGTGTAGTGGTCTGTTTGCCAAAACACCGTCCCTGATGTGCCTATCCACAAGCTTTTTCAGTGTCGCAAGCTCAAATGATGTCAGACTAATGGGCCTTAGGGACTTTGCCGTGTGCTGTCCTATTTTTCCATGTTTTGGTATGAACAATACCCTAATGCGCCTCCAGGCCTTTGGTATGTAGGTAGCCAAAGGCTAGGCTACTTCTTAGAATGTTACATAGGTAGTATCCTGTTTGCAAGTTCAGTTCTTTTTCATAGTTGACTACTTTCTTCGAGGTCAGCTAGTCGTTCCTGGATGCTCTTCGAAGTTTAGTCTCATTCCATGTCCACTGAGTCTGGTCAACTATCTTTGAGCCGGGAAAATGGGTTCTTGCTGGTTAGTTAGTTTTGTCTGCTTTACTAAAAGAATTTATTACAGTTGAAATTTGGAAGTCTCAAGGGCCTTCTTGCTATTTTTCACTGGTTGGAGTTTTTCATGAAGAGTCAAACCTTGCAGGGATTACTTTCGTTCGTGGATAGGTATGGTGATATCATTAGCCCTTCATATTCTTATAATCATCGTCATCATAGGCAATCACTCAATACCGAGTATGATTATCTTCTACTCTATTTTTACTGAGTTTGTTCGGACTTACTTCAGAATCCGTTCTGAATTGAACTGTGGTTGCGCATTAGTTTAAATATTTTAGGTATGAAAAAATGTGAAAGCGCAGTTCAATTCGGAACTGGTTCTGAACTAAGTCCGAACACACCGATTAAATGATAATCATACTGCCTTCCTCTGTATTGGCCATTATTCGCATATTGAAATACAATTATCAATGTCGTCTTGGCTCGTAATCTGTTTAGGATGCTACCTTTCTGATAAATATAAATAGTCCAACAAAATTTAATTGGATTTTCTCTTATAAGTTTGATATCGATACAGCGTTGGGTTTGATGTGGTTCTAGAGAGAGAAGATCATCTCAAAAGTTTATTTTGGACTCACTGAGCTGTAGGTTGTCGGATTATTTATAAATTAGGCCATCTAAGTTCACGAAAGTTACTCCACTGTCTATCGTAAGCATTTTAGCATAATTAAATAGTTTAAGGTTAGTCAACATGAAGTTAACGAAGTTAAAGAATAATACCATGACGTCTCTTTTACGGAGGGACGTAATACTTGGGCCATTCTGTAGTGTACACTCTGTACACTTGGCGTGACTGAATACTGAAACTGGGTTTGAGACAGAAAAAGAAACAAGAAATTGTGTTAATAAAGTATGTGCTGCATATGATGAGAACCCCCTACACCGTACTTCTTATTTGTTGCGCTTATGGTTCTTGGAGTATCTTTTTATAAAACAACTTTACGGCCTTGAGAATCGAGGCAACTCATCTATCTGGTTTAAAGGTTACTATGAACTATTGTTTTATGTAGAAATTATCCATTGCAACGATCACATACCCGTTAGTATTGCCGGCTCTTGGACTATAGCCTTAGTCTACCGGTAATGCATCTCGGCGTGGTATTTATACCAAATTATGCTGACTCGTCGCGTCGACACACTTTGATAAAATTGATGTACAGAGTGATATTAAGTAGGTATTTACTTAAGTAGCTGACAATAATCCAAAAAAAAAATACAGTTGAAATATCAAGCGGTGACGTACCGAAATATACAGACCGGTTCAACCTACTAGACACATGGGGAGTAATTAGAGAAAATATCAATGATCCACCATGACGATCCTGCAGTGAAATTGGTATCAGTCAACTGGTCACATTGAGGTCATGTGACTAGTAGCCTAATCCGGTCTGCATACAATATTGACATATTACAACTCCTCTTCTACAATAGGAGAGAAAGTTAAAGAGGACACTTATCCAACGTTAAGACATAATGAGGAATCTCAAAAATCGAATTAAAATTACTATAGAACACGGTACATCAGGCGAAAAAATTTGGGAGAATGAAGTAGATAGGCACTTACTTCAACTTGAAAACCAAAGCAAAGATGAGATAACACCAATAGTCGATTAACTCAAAGGTGAAGTTAATGATAAAATAAGAAATCACATTGAAAGCTCATTTAATAAAAAATAAAAAATGTCTGTACTGATCTCTGTTCTTGGATAAAATATCCAGGGTTATTCTTAGTAGGTAGTTTATATCCCAGGCAAAAAAATAGCCTGAAACAGCAAGTTCGTTAATACTAATTATCCGCGCCTCGCAGCTTTCTTAAAAGCTTTATTATCTTTAAAATGTATTGTCCGTTCTGGTGAAACATGGATTAGGGGCCGAGGTGTGCGCTCAATTTCCGAGTATTTGTTCTCGCAGTAAATTTTGGAAATGAAAAGACTTTCAATAATATGCGAAACTTTAAAATTAATAAGGTTTTCTGAAATAAAATGCCGTCCGCGCTCTTTTAATTCTGAAACTTTTTGAACTTTACATAAAACACCTTAATTATAAATCTTGGACAAAGTTTTTGGGGGAATTCGAAAAGACTGAAAAGTTTGTCAAAGGAATTTCAGTTACTTAAGAGCTCGAAAAGTAAGACGAGCGTTCCGACTATGGGCGAGAATTAAAAATGACTTCAGTCTAATGAATAAATCACAACTCAAATCATATATGCGCCACAAAATGAATTAAATGTTATCAAGCTGAAACTATAAGTGAAATAAATCATTCCGTTTCCAAGATTTAATGCTAGTAAATTAGCACAATCTTCCCTTGAGTCAACTATAACGCTGAGCCCTTTAATTTATTGCCATCTCTAATTTCAGGTAATTAAAATTTACTATCGTTTTTAGGTCTCCAATTAGCTTTGGAAGGATATATGTAACACAGCTTGCAATAAAATTCATTTTGTATTAAGCAAATTCAGGTAACGTACAAGCAAAGACATAATCCAGTAGGGAATGCTACCAAGAATAAGGAATGCAACATGCGGACAACGATAATCCTGTAGGTGTCGTTTTCAGTATCGTAAAGGCTATGATTGGTTATAGACCTCTGGAACCGATCCTTTCATGAATATCAAATAGATTCCTTGGCTTTGATTTTCTTCTTCTGATGCTGTTATCGTTTCAAGTTTAATACTTTAGCAATTTTCTCATTTTCTCCACATAAAATATATTAATATATGCCACAACTGCAACGCCTAAGCAGAAACTGCATCCGAATCGTTACTATTCCGCTAGAGAGTTTTCAAACCACAACGGAAAACTTTGCTCTGTGTTATTTTATCATTTAAAACTTGAAAGCTGTTTAGATACTTTGTTTAAACTCGAAAGTTACGCTCTCCTATATTTAACATTTCAACGTAAAAATGTAAAATTAAAAAACAAAGTTTCTGGACTGTTCTATACGTACCTACAAGAAACTTCCAATTTATTCTTACACATTATTTACATGCAAGTTCTGGAAGTTTGTTCATTTTAAAGCAAATATTTGCCACATTTAGTTCAATTTCAAACTTATATATTTGTCAGCGTATGGAAACGTTGAAGTTTTTATTTGCATACCGGCTACATTATTTACAATTCAATTTTGTTTGGAAATTTATTAGGAACTCTATGTGCGGCTGTTGCAGTTTTTATTTTTTAAACAAAGATCTAGGCTGCGAGTTGTACAATAACTTACATATTCGTTTTGTTATACTTGGAATTGAATTTTTGAAAGGGCCAAATGAAGATTGTTGTGCACTTCACCGTTAAGCGATCGCATTTTGTCACGAGGTTCGTAGGCAATAAATAATAATTTTGAATTTGAAAAGAAAGCATTGTTAGGAAGCTTTTACCATGAAGAAATATGTTAACGAATAAAAAATATAGAAAAATTTTTGCTAAAAAATTGCGAACAAGAACTTTGGTTTTGTAGCGCCCTTGAAGAGAAATTCGTTAAAGTGGAATGATATATGAAACTTTTCATTATACATTGATTGACATGTTTATTTAATCCGGTATTCTGAGTAAATAGAAACCTGATAAATATACTTCCTTGCGATGTTCACTTTGAGACACGTGTACCTATACCAAGCGAGTTTCTCTGTACCTGAACCCCAGCTACGCTCCCAGGTCACGCTTCTGTTGTGACGTCCTAGGACGAAACGTATAGGGGTTATGACATTATGGAATATAATTTTTTTTCAAACAGTACAATTACTTTATTTAAATTCAAATTTGATACAATCTATCTACAAAACCGTATTACATAAATCAGTGTCACAAGTTTTACATTCCACCAAAGTAGAATTGGCGTCAAGATCATCGACGACATATTCGCAAAATTCCTTGCCGTCTCTAGTAGCTTCCGCACAATGTCTTTCATAAATATAGGCTTCTAAAATACCAAATATTCAATAAAAATCATAAATAATTAGAATTTTTTACCCGTAGCATTCAATTTCACAATCACGCAAACGTGACTGGTACTATTTCCGCAAGTTTCCTCGGTCACCCAGGACTGTGCCCCGGAGGTGGAGGGGTCTAAGACGGCATCACAAAATGGGGCTCCAGCTATAGACGAACACCAATAGCATCGCTGAGAATCACTCAGGACATTGTTTGCTAAAAGATGTTAATAGTTTGGTTATAGTTAGTACAATTTAATTAAACTTACCAAAAATTATTGCAAGGGCAACTGAAACTAATATTAGGCGAGTCATTTTGTGCAATATAATTTATATTTTGCCACCTGCCTGATCAAAATGTATGGAATATTATCTAATCTTGGTTTTTTCGTTTAAAGTTGAAGGGTTTTGATAATAATTTGGAATTTGCCTTCCACTCATGGTTGTTGAATGAGCCCATTAAAACAGCTTTCTCGTCTCCTATCGAGGGTTTCTTGATTCTGAAAATCTTAGATATTGTCAGATCAATATGTGAATATGAATTTTATGTAAAAATTTTTGCGTCTTTGGAACCTTGACTCAGTCTTCAATATGGTATTGAGTCTTCAGAATCACTAGATTCTTGCTTAAGGAACTTTCAGTGTCAAGTTTCCAGATTCTCCAGAATTTTCAGTCTTAAGTCTTCAAAGTCTCTAGAATCTTAACAGAGTCTTCAGTGACCAATCTTTATTCAGAGTTTCCAGAGCCTGAATTTCAAGATCTTCACATCAGTACCTATCCAGTTTTAACCTAAAAATGCCCAGTATTCTACCTGGAATCTTGACTGATTGATTGATTAGGTGTCCAAACTTACATTGAATTCTGAAGCATTTGTCTTCAGTATCAAAGAGTCTTTAGAATAATTATCTGTCTCTAAATTCTTTCAGTGTCTAGTGTAGAGCAAAGAATTTCAGTTCACAATCATCAGAATTTTGAGTTCTGAATATTTAAAGTATTGCAGCATGTTCTGAAATTCTGAATTACCTACTTCAAAATAAAGAATATTGATTCTTAGTTTCCAGTATTAGGTGTTATAAGTTTTCAAAGCCTCTAAGAATATTGATAAAGTCTTCAATAACCAGTCTCAATGGTTTCTGGTTCTGAAATCTTACATCTTGTCTGATTAATATCTGAATATTCAGTTTTGTTTTAAAAGTTTTGAGTCTTCGGAATCCTGAATCTTGAGTTAGTTTTCAATAAGGTATTGAGAATCGCACTAGAAGGAGCCTACAGTGTTGAGTTTTCAGATTCTCCAGAGCATTCAGTATTGAATTTTAAGTCTTCAAAGTCTATCTACAATTTTGACAGAGTCTTCAATGACCAGTCTTCATTCAGAGTTTCCAGAGCCTGAAATCTAAGACCTTATCACATTCGTATCCAGTTTTAAGCTAAGAATTTTCAGTCTCTGATATATTGAATCTTGACTGGTTAATTGAATATGTTCTGTTTTTTAAAGTAAGTATTATAGCATGATCTTGAATTCTGAATTTCTTCATAATCGAAAATCTTGATTTTTAGAGTTTTCAGTATTTTGTCTTTTAAGTCTTCAAAGTCTCTGAAAATATTGACAGAGTCTTCAGAGTTGCCGGATTCTGAAATCTTACATCTGCTCTAATTATCTGAACATCCAGTTTTATGCTAAGAGTTTTGACTTTTTGAAATCCTGAATCTTGACTTAGTCTTCAATAAGGTATTGAGAATCACTAGATTCTTGCCTAAGCAGCTTATACAGTGTCGAGTTTCCAGATTCTTCAAAGTTTTCAGTATTGAGTCTCATGTCTTCGGAGTATTCAAAGTCTCTACAATCTTGACAAAGTCTTCAGTGACCAGTCTTCATTTAGTTTTCCAAAGTCTGAAATCTAAGAACTTATCACATACGTTTCCACTTTTAAGCTAAGAATTTTCAGTCCCTGCAGTCCTAAGAATATTGACAGAGTCTTCGATAACCAGTCTCAATAGTTTCTAGTTCTGAAAGTTTACATCTTGTCTGATCAATATCTGAATATTCAGTTTCAAGCTAAGAATTTTGAGTCTTTGAAATCCTGAATCTTGACTTAGTTTTCAATAAGGTATCGCGAATCATTAGATTCTGGCCTAAGGAGCCTACAGTGTCGAGATTCCAGATTCCCCAGAGTTTTCAGTATTGAGTCTCGAGTCTTCAATGACCAGTCTTCATTCAAAGTTTCCAAAGCCTGAAATCTAAGACCTTATCACATTCGTATCCACTTTCAAGCTAAGAATTTTCAGTCCCTGGAGTCTCTAAGAATATTTACAGAGCATAACTGAATCCCAACAATTGTTGTAATACTAAGAGCCTCCATAGAATTTGTGTTAGGTATTTTAGCAAAATGTAAGAGACCTGAAAAGGTTGACATATTTTGTGCAATTCTAGTGAAGTCTTACAACTTAATAACTCTCACTGAAGCTTGGATGGATTTTGGTAATGGAGGAAATGATCACTGCAAAAGAATCAAAACGCCTAAATTTCAAAGACGTATGACTGAAAATGAACGACGTGAGCTGATGTTACTGTTACTTGAATATGAAAACCAAATATGCAACTGGTTGGATCAAAATACATCATAAACATATGACCACGACCCCGAACATATCGAATATTAAAACAACCAAAAAAAAAGGTCACCCATACATCTCTTAACAATTCATACACGGTCGAGCAGAAAGATTCGGACGAAAATGTAAAAGCGGTCCGGCCTTTTGTTTCACCCGACCCGAATGTCCAGCCGAATATGAAACAGGGGGCGGATGAAAAGCGAAAATTCTATAACCGAATGTGAGAAATCTTCCCGATTATTACGCCATAGACAGACCCTCTTTTCAAATTTTTATACTTTGGCACCTACGGTAATAAAAATGGAATCGATGATTTTATTTGTTTTTTATTGGAAACTGGGGGTTTTATGTATGGGAATTGTAATTTTTCATTCACAACTAAGGGTTTATTCGTTAGCCCAGAATGGATGTTAATAGAGCGAAAAGAGAAAACAGGAACAGACCTAACGATTTTCATTTTAAGGCTATCAGGGCTTGAATCCTACACAAGGGTACAAAATTAACCCCATTAACTTAGAGAGTAAAGTACAAGTAGAAATAGATATTTTCTAAAACTCACCTAGTTTTGTTGTTAGTTTTCATGTTTATTTTGTTTTCCATGTGTTATACATAGTTTGAGGTATGTAAACAGGAATTAAGTTTCCAAGTACCAAAATTCTCTATTACATACAAAATCTGGACACCGACTTTCCTCAAGTTGTGTAAAACAGTAACGCTACACTAAAACGAACCAGCGTTGTCGAGCTCCTCTTGTTAGAAAACAATGCTCCTGTTTCTATTTAAGGAATTAAGTTGAGATGTGTAACTTGAGGAATAGCGGATACGAGGAATGTCGAAGTTTAAATTTACGGTTTCTCGTTTGGGGGTTGCTGGCAGAATAAAATTCCTTGTCTTTGTCAAGATTTAAATTGGTTTTGTGTCGCAGTTTTAAAACTATGGTATAAGTGCACAAGTGTATAAGTTTTATAGAACCGCACACGGTGTCCTGGGTTTAAATTCCCATCTCGCACCATTACTAAGCATTAGATGCAACGTACGATAATGACCGGCATTGTTATTCCCTCAATAGTTTTCACATTATTTCTCTCGGTCTAATCTCTAAACTTAATCCCAGTACACGTACACAGTAGCTGGATGATAATAACTGAATTTAAAAATAGCTATTAGAGGGTGAAATGGATTTTTCCATGAATTTGTTAATATTATTATACCCTTAGTAAATTAACAAATTACACAAATAATTCAGTTCAGTTACTGAGCAAGATAAGGAATTTACAATCGAATTATGCTAAACAGCGAGAGAATGAAGTCAGGCCACTAGTAACCGAAGAACACCTGTTTTCAAAAATGCAATTTTCTCAAGTTCCAGTGATGAATTTATTAGTTGAAAATAGTGATGCCGAGAGACTAAACGAAACGAGAATATGCTCCGTCTCGAGAGAAAACAGGTGTCTCGTCTCTCGTCTCGACGTCAGAACTCAAGATTCCATGATGATTTGTGAATTGAAGTTATTTGCTCGTAACTCGACACTGAAAGAATTTAGAGTCAGAAATCTCTGAAGACTCTGTGATACTAAAGACAAATGCATCAGAATTTAATGAAAAATTTAGTTTGGAATCCTGTTTATAATTAGCCAGTCAAGAATCAAGATTCCAGAGACTGAAAATTCTTAGTTTAAAAAAAAAATACGAATGTGATAAGGTCTTAGATTTCAGGCTCTGGAAACTCTGAACGAAAACTCGTCACTGAGAAGTCTGTTAATATTGTAGAGACTTTGATGACTTGAGACTCAATACTAAAAACTCTGAAGAATCTTGAAACTCGACGCTGTAGGCTCCTTAGGCAAAAATCTAGTGATTCACAATACCTTATTGAAAACTAAGTCAAGATTCAGGATTCCAAAGACTCAAACCTCTTAGCATAAAACTGGATATTGAGATATTGATATCAGACAAAATTTAAGATTCCAGAATCCAGAAACTATTGAAACTGATTACTGAAGACTCTGTCAATATTCTTAGGGACTTATAAGACAAAATACTGAAAACTCTAAGCATCAAGATTTTCGATTTTGAAGTAATTCTGAATTCAAGATCATGATGCAATACTCTAAAAAAACAAAACCTATTTAATAAATCACTTAAGCTTCAAGATTCCAGAGACTGAAAAGTCTTAGCTTAAACCTGGATACTCATGTGAAGATCTTAGATTTCAGGCTCTGGAAACTCTGAATGAAAACTGGTCACTGAAGACCCTGTTAAGATTATAGATACTTTGAAGACTTGAGACTCAATGCTGAAAACTTTGAAGAATCTGGAAACTCGACAATGTAGGCAAGAATCTAGTGATTCTCAATACTTTATTGAAGACGACTCAAGATTCTGATGATTTGTGAACTAGAATGTTTTGCTTGAAACTAGACACTGAAAGAATTTAGAGACAAAAAACTCTCTATTAAGAGTCTATGATACTGGAGACAAATGATTCAGAATTTAATGTAAAAGTTATTTTGAACTCTTATTTAATTAACCAGTCAAGATTTCAGATTCCAGAGACTGAGAATTCTTAGCTTGAAACTTGCTTCGAATGTAATAAGGTCTCAGATTTCAGGCTCTGGGAACTCTGAATAAAGATTGGTCACTGAAATCTCTGTCAAGATTTTAGAGACTTTGAAGACTTGAAACTGTGAAGAATTTGGAAACTCGACACTGAAGGCACCTTAGGCAAGAATCTGGTGATTCTGAAGATTCGATACTTTATTGAAGACTGTCAAG